CTTTCGGATGAGACATTAAATCGAGGTCCTGACTCTCTGTGGTCATTAAAAATCCCATGGCACTTCTAACCCCGGTGTCCTGGCCAAAGTCCCTCTTTCGGCCCATACGATCATGGCCCCCCAATCATCCCCTTCCACAGAATTGGCTCTATCACTGTGTCTCCACTCCACCAATAGCTGGTGTGTGGTGAGCGCACTGGCGCCGTTGTCCTGTGGCTGCCATCGCATCATCCAAGTGGATGCTGCACACTGGTGGTGGTGAGGAGAGACCCCCCCCCCCCTCATGATTGTGAAGCACTTTGGGTGTATGGCCATACACAATAAATGCGCTATATAAATACACATTACATTACATTACATTACATTACAATAACTCAACCAGTTGAGTTAAAATTTGGAATTTTAACAGTCAACTGATTTAACTGACACAGAACCACTGTATTAATATGCGTGCGTAATGTTGTTTTTTCGTCATAAATTTTATTTAGGCTACAACTCGATAATGTTGTTGTTGTTGTTTTCAAATCACCTCTCCGTGTCGTGTTTTTATATCCGTTTTATCATCCAAGACCATCTTTTAGAAGTGTTTGGATGTGGTTAAAATGTTTTGTACATAGTGGACACTGAGTGAAGCCTGCTGCATCTGCTGGACAGCCTCTACAGCACACAGAACTCCATATTCTGCTCCATCATCAACACATGATTTTCTGCTTGCACAGTTTACAACTGTCTACTTAGATTATATCAAAATAACCCATTGCATTGGATTAAATTATATAACCCAATGCATTGGGTTAAAATAACTCATAGTTGGGAAGGTGCTATAATAACCTATAGTGGGGTTTTATGTTGGAGTATTTCTGACCCAAATATTTAAACAGAGTGGTATTACTGTTGTTAGTACTACTAATAATTTAATAACTATGGCTGTAAACATATAACATACTTTTTAAAAATATATATTAAAAATGCTTTATTTCCATTACATTTTAGTTCCAGAAATTACATTTTTGTTCAAATAAATTAGGAATTACAAACATGAAGAAGCAGAACAAAGTAGACTTTGCACGGATATGGCGCAGGTAAAAACATCATATTTTAATAATGCATCTGGATTAGGGTTGGAGTTAGTGTAAGTTGACATTTATTTGCAATGTTTCTTCTTGTCATTTAAATGTCTGTTGAAGAAGCAGTATCAGCAGATATTAAGTCAACAAAATGTGCCATAGGGACCATCAAAATAAAGTCTTACCGATTCTTTATAGAGGACAAATAAATAAATGTTCCCTAAAGATCCTTTTACCAAAATGTAAAATGTTGTTTTAGGGACAAAAAAATAGATGATTCAGTGACTTTTTTTAGGAAAACAAAAGGGATGTACATTAAAAAATATCCATAACTTAGCAGTTTTACGTATTTTATGATTTATGTTTTTATTTTTCCCCATTTATTTCTGCTTTTGAGTTGCATTATGGGAGCTTGATCTTACTTCCAACAACTTTTAACCTTGAGAAGATTAAAAAAGTGACTTTTATGAAAATTTGTTATAAACAATAGTTTGCAGTGCTATATTGTGTGGGTTGGTGTTGTATATTACGCTACAGAAACCTTGTAATAAACTGCAGCACATTTACTGTTATTTTACTGACTTATTTCCCTGGATATTATTTCTTATCTGTTATATAATTTTTTTTCAAACTACTAAAATGTCAATAAAAGTCACTTTGTTTAAACGTTCTCTACTGAAAAAAAAAAAAAAAAAAAAACTGTTTAAACCAGCGTCTAGGCTGGTTTAAGCTGGATTTTTCAGCAGGGTTGGTTGAGTTGAATTTTCAACTATAAAAGTGGCCAGAGCAGAGATCAACATCCCATAATGCAATTCTCAACCGTAAATAAACACTTGCGAATCACAAAATACAGAAACTGTTACAGTAATTAACAGATATTTTTTACAGTCTATGTTTAAGAGCGTCCCACTGACATTCTGTATCAGTGTCACGCATGGCTGTACTGAGATCAGTGCACACAAAGCTGCCGCTGTGGTCCCGACTACAAAGGGAAGGAGAAAAGGACAGGATTAGTCCTCAAGCACAATAGAAGAAAGAAGATCTCCAGGAGGATCACGGGAATTACAGACAGCAGCATAATGTGGAGTGACAGAAAGAGGAAGCAGGAAAACTTCAACACGAGCGATTATTAAAGATCAGCAGATGATCAGGAGAAGAAAAGAGCTTTTCAGAGCAGTGGGAACAGGGGATTGATCAGACGTCGCACATGTTGGCTTAATGCTATCACGCTGTGAAAAAATGCCTAATATGTTTAAGTTAAATCAGGTTAAGTGTTTTTATTTTAAAGCATTTAAACTGACTTAAAACATTGAGTTATAATCCGTGTAGCTTAAAAAAGGTTGAAAAAAGTTTAAAATAAATTAAATTAACATGCATAATATTTAAATGAATTATAATCATAAATATGCTTAAATTAATATGTGTATGTATGTATGTATGTTTAGTTATACACATATAGTTAATGTGTATACATAATTTATTTTAAACAATTCATAAATGTTCAATATTTTAAAACGAAATATATGTACTTTTTTATTTTTTATTTCATGTATTTTATCAAACTTGCTTAAAACTTAAGTATTAAAAAAATGTTCAAATGTGTATTGAAGGTGTTACATACATATTTTTAAATGTAATAAATTCCAGTGATTCAAAACTAAATTTTGTTCAGCATCATTATTCCAGTCTTCAGTGTTTCAAAGTTTAGCATAGATGGATAGATAGATAGATAGATAGATGGATAGATAGATAGATAGATAGATAGATAGATAGATAGATAGATAGATAGATAGATAGATAGATAGATAGATAGATAGATAGATAGATAGATAGATAGATGTGCAGATGGATGGATGGATCAATGGAGACATGGAAATAGATGGGCGAATGGATGGATGGATGGATGCATAGATGTGCAGATGGATGGTGAATAGATGTGCACGGATGGATGGATGGATGGATAGATCAATGGATAAATGTACATTTAGATAGATGGATGGATGGATGGATGTATAGATTGATGGATAGATGTGCAGATGGATGGATGAATGGATATATCGATGGATAGATGTGCAGATGGATGGATGGATAAATGGATGGATGGATGGGTAAATGGATAGATCGGTGGATAGTTGTGCAAATGGATGGATGGATGAATAAATTTGCAGATGGATGGATGAATGATGGATGGATGGATAGAAAGTTCGGTGGATAGCTGGCAAATGGATGGATAAATGTGCAAATAGATGGACAAATGGATGGATGGATGTGCAAATGGATGGACGAATGATGGATGGATGAATAGATAGATCAGTGGATAGATGTGCAGATAGATGGATGGATTAATGGATAGCTATGCAAATGAATGGGTTAAATTGGTGGATGGATGTGCAGATAGATGGATGAATAGATGTGCAAATAGATGGATGAAAAAATGGATGGATAGATCAATAGATAGATGCGCAAATAGATGGATGAAAGGATGGATGGATAGATCAATAGATGGATGTGCAAATAGATGGATGAAAGGATGGATGGATAGATCAATAGATATATGTGCAAATAGATGGATGAAAGGATGGATGGATAGATCAATAGATGGATGTGCAAATAGATGGATGAAAGGATGGATGGATAGATCAATAGATGGATGTGCAAATAGATGGATGAAAGGATGGATGGATAGATCAATAGATGGATGTGCAAATAGATGGATGAAAGGATGGCTGGATAGATTGATGGATAGATGTACAGATAGATGAATGGATGGATAGATTGAAGGATGTGCAAATGGTTAGAGGAAGGATGGGATATATAGATCTGAATGGATGGACGGATGGAAGGAGGAAAGAATTCTGAACCTCAGCAAGGCTTCATTAAAATTGTGAAATATTATTAGTGCATAAAATTAATTGGACCAAGTTTGAACCATTAGGAATATTTAAAGATTCAACGTCTTCCACTGATTCAGAACTGACTTGTCAACATGATTATTTTAGTTAAAATTGAACAAATTGAAACACTTTTACTGGCGCTTTTGTTGAACTGAATGCATCCGTGCTGAAATGTAGTTTTTTTTTAAATGAAGTTGTAATTCATTTATTATTTTTAATCTGTCTGAGCCAACATTTTGAACACAATAAGAGTACAGCGCTAAAATGTACAAATAGTGACATTTTTTTTACTTGAATTGCAGATTTGAGATGTGTTCTCATCCTCTAAATCAGCGCAGTGTTTCAGAAGCAGCAGATATTAGAGATCTGACCGGTGATTTCTCCGTCCTCTGAATATTGACTCCTCCGTTAAGTGTTTTGCGTCGTCTCACCTCATGACACCCTCATATCTCCAGGCTTATTAAAAATCTCTTTCAAAGTCATAATCACGAGGTGTCAGTCACGCATTGATCTGTGATATTAATGCTTGAACTTTATTGGTGTGGGAGAAAACGCCGCTCTCAGGGCAGATCTGCTTAATGCGGCAGAATTATTAAGCTTTGTGGAGGATCTTCGCGTCTGGGGGGTTGAGGATTCACTCTGTGCTTCACTCTTACATTATTCATTCATTTTCCTTCGGCTTAGTCCCTTTGTTCATGAGGGGTCGCCACAGCGGAGTGAACCACTAACTTGTCCAGCATATGTTTTACACAGCGGATGCCCTTCCAGCTGCAACCCAGTACTGGGAAACACACACTCATTCACAAACATACACACACTAATTTACTTCAGTTCACCTATAGCGCATGTGTTTGGACAGTGGGGGAAACCGGAGCACCCGGAGGAAACCCATGCCAACACGGGGAGAACATGCAAACTCCACACAGAAACGCCATCAATTAAACAGATTAAAAAGTTAAACTCAAACACATTAGTTGAAACTTGATTGACTTAAGAAGCAAGTTAAAATAACATCAAAATATTTGTTTCTCATCCTCAGGCTGTTCGCCACCAAGTGCAGCGGGTGTCTGGAGAAGATCTCCCCTACGGAGTTAGTGATGCGCGCACTGGAGAGTGTGTATCACCTGAGCTGCTTCTGCTGCTGCGTGTGTGAGCGCCGGCTGTGCAAAGGAGATGAGTTTGTGCTGAAGGAAGGACAGCTGCTCTGCAAGACCGACTACGAGAGAGAGAAAGATCTCGCCAGCCCAGACCTCTCCGACTCCGGTGAGAACACCTTCATTTCACGAGTTCACACTCACAGATGTTTGACTGAATAGAATATGTGTATTTGGCATGCTGTCCAGGGAGAGAGCTTTGAGCTCGGGGAGACAGCCTAACTCGTGTTATTCCCCTTATCAGGATAAAGAGAGATAGGTAGGGATGGCTGACGTGAAAACTGATGTTTCGACACAGTGTCGAGATCCCGAAGCGCAAGTGTTTCGAAACACTGCACCGAAGCATGATTACTGTAAAACAATAATTAATATTTTTACAGTACTGTGATGGTTGGGTTTGGGTAAACGTTAATAAAATACAATAAATGGGAAATTTAATGAATAATATAAATAATTCTTGATAACTTCAGGCCACACCTGTGTCTGATCTAGCAACAGCCCTGTTTAAGACCAAAATAAGACATATTTATTTACTAAGTGTTTATTCGAATGTCAGACCAGTGTTGAAACAAAACGATACAAGAACAAAGCATCAATTCAATTCAATTCAGCTTTATTTGTATAGCGCTTTTATAATGTAGATTGTGTCAAAGCAGCTTCACATAAAGGGTCATAATAACTGGATCAGTGTAGTTCAGTTTTTAGTGTTTAAGTTCAGTTCAGTTTAGCTCAGTTCAGTTCAGTGTGGTTTGAAGTCATTATTGAGAGTCCAAACACTGAAGAGCAAATTCATCGATGAGTAGCTTTTCAGATCCTGAACCATGCGAGCCAGTGGCGACAGCGGAGAGGGAAGAAAAAAAACCTTGGGAGAACCAGACTCAGTTTGGCACGACCATTTTAATTTCTCCGCTGGCCAAAAGTCTTGTGCAGAGCTGCAGTCTCAGCGGTGGAGCCTGAAAGCTGGCCTCAGCGAAGATTCGTCTGTCCCTGGAGCGTCACTGGAATCAGTCTCAGACTCTCCCCCATGACCACCACAGCAGCTGCTCAGGATACGGCCTGGTCCTGGATATGGACACCTTGGGATCATCTCGTCGCTGGTCTTGGATCCAATCAGTGACTCCGCATAATCTGAGGACCTCGGGATGAGTATCCCCAGGTGGAAATGAAATTAAAGAGAATAATTAGCGTAGCTGCTGTTCAAAGTGTATATAAGCAAGATGCAGAAGCCAATGTGGAACCCGCTAGGTGATGCATTGAGTGTATGCTTTACTAAACAGATCGGTCTTTAATCTAGTTTTGAACTGGGAGAGTGTGTCTGAGCCTCGGACGTTATCAGGAAGGCTATTCCAGAGTTTAGGAGCCATAAAGGAGAAGGCTCGACCTCCCTTACTCGACTTTGCTATTCTAAGTACTACCAGAAGACAGAAGGTTGGTTAGATAAACAGGAGCGAGATTATTTAGAGCTTTATAGGTAAGAAGTAATATTTTAAATTCAATGCGAAATTTAACAGGCAGCCAGTGTAAGGAGGGTAAAATTGGGGTGATATGATCATATTTTCTAGACCTGGTCAGAACTCTGGCTGCTGCATTTTGTACTAATTAAAGTTTGTAAATAGAGGATGCTGGGCAGCCAGCAAACAGAGCATTACAGTAATCCAGCCTAAAGTCATAAAAGCATGGACTAGCTTTTCTGCATCTGAGATGGATAGCATATTTCGTAATTTAGAGATATTTTTCAGATGAAAGAAAGCAGTTTTTGTGACAGGATATATGGTTTACCAACTGGTATTAAAGCATTTCAAAATAGCTGAATCAGCCTGGATTCGAACACACTATCCCCACATGGTAGTCAGAAACCTTAACCGCTCCACTAAATTTCTTGTAGGTTCATGTCTACAAAGTGGGGTTTTAATACCTCAATTTGCTCAACTGTTTTTTGCTAAAGTTGTTTCAGTGCAATACATAAAAATGACCACAAGGTGTCACCGTAGAGTGGGATTTCAAAACGTTTCGAAGCTTCGACACATTCGCTTCGACTGTTTCAGTGTTTCATGAAGCCTCGCTTTGCCCACCACTAGAGATAGGGTCCGAGCGCAGTGTGTAGCCTGGCTCCAGAACACTCCCCTCTCATATTTAAATAGGTATCTGGTTTATTAGTGTGGAGTTGGGGTGGTGAAGGGACGCTGAAGTCGAGAGAAACGGAGGTATGACGTGTTTGACTGTTTATAGAGGTTTGCTCTTGAGCTGATTGGATAAAAGAATGATTATGTGTGTGTGTGTGTGTGTGTGTGTGTGTGTGTGTGTGTGTGTGTGTGTGGGTGTGGGTGTGTGTGTGTGTGTGTGTGTGTGTGTGTGATGAATTAGCCTCGTCAAAGACTCATCGTGCTCCTCCCGAAATTTGTTTATAAAACATCACTCATTCATTATGCCTGTTGGAAAATAACACGGTCCATTGTTTAGTGTAAAGAAATTACAGACACATTTGCAGTTGAAGTCAAAATAATTTGCCCTTCTGTAAATTTTCATTTCTTTTTCAAATGTTTCTCAAATGATGTTTAACAGAGCAACGATTTTTTCACAGTATTTCCTACAATATTTTTTCCACTGGAGAAAGTCTGATTTGTTTTTTTTCGGCTAGATTCAAAGCAGTTTCTAATTTTTTAAACACGATTTTAAGGTCATATTTGCTTTCGATTGTCTACAGACCAAAACATCATTACACAATGGCTTGCCTAATTACCCTAAGTTGCCTAATTAACCTAGTAAAGTCTTTAAATGTCACTTTAAGCTGTATAGAAGTGTCTTTAAAAATATCTAGTCAAATATTATTTACTGTCATCATGGCAAAGAGAAAATAAATCAGTTATTAGAGATGAGTTATTAAAACTATTATGCTTAGAAATGTGAAAAATCCGTTAAACAGAAATGGGGAAAAAATATACAGGTGGGATGATAATTCAGCCATCACGCTGGCTCACTCACTCATCAGCACTGTCGCCTCACAGCAAGAAGGCTGCTGGTTCAAGTCCTGGCTGAGCCAGTTGTCATTTCTGTGAGGAGTTTGCATGTTCTCCCCGTGTTGGCGTGGGTTTCCTCCGGGTGCTCCAGGTACCCCCACAGTCCAAACATATGCGCTATAGGGGAATTGGGTAAACAAAATTGGCCTTGTGTGTTTGAGTGTGTGTGTGAATGCGAGAGTGTGTTTTCCAGGGCTGGGTTGCGGCTGAAAGGTCATCCGCACATATGCCAGAGTATTTGGGAGTAGGGTTGTGCCGATAGACGAAGCCATCGTCCATTGCGATGACCAATAAACTTCGCAATCCATCACCCACATTTACATTGATTTATAACTTATTATTTGCATATCTTAATAGCAATAACGGTCTTTGTTAAACGAGCTGTGTTTAATTTTACACATAGCTGCCGCTTGCACGGCTGACAGCACCGTGAGGATTAAATGAAGGATTATACAGCACCTCTCGCGCTTAAAATGTGTAGATTCAGTAGCAAACGCTGTTACCTGCAAACCCCGTCCCACAGACTTTACAGTGAATGGCTTTAGTTATTTTCATAGCGGACTTGAAGTCACTGAAAGTCTTCTATCCACTCTTGGAAAAGTTTAAAGAAGAGATTAAAATTCAGCACATGATCACTAATAAAACGTGCCATTATTAGTAACTTTAGGTGTTTTCTAAAACAAAATCTGTCAGTGCTGTTTTCATTCTCTCATCTTCAGCGCTTCACATTTTCGCGGTTGTTGTTGAGTGATTGACAGCTGATATTAACCAATCATTAGTGTTCAGTTCTGGAGCAGTGGTGGGCCAATAAGAAAAGCACAAAGGCGGGGCAAACATTGCAGGCTTTTTTTTTACTTCAGCAAGTTCACATAACAACTGTTTATCCAGCCTGATCTCACGAGAAAATGTAAGTATTTTACGTTTTGCCAGTTTAGTGGCTAATTCGTACGATTTCAGTCGTACGAAATGATACGATTTTAAAAAGGAGGCGTGGCACCTAACCCCACCCCTAACCCCAACCGTCATTGGGGGATAAGCAAATCGTACTAAATTGTACGAATTAGATCGTACGAATTCATACGAATTAGCCACTAAATGAAAAAGTTACGAATTGCCGTGAGATTGTGTTGGTTTATCTGTTCCTGTTTGGCGTTTTTAGGTGCAAAGATGCATTCTGCAAGAATGTCTCCTAAATCGCACAAATGCTTCCACATATATATTTTAGGTCGCATAGAAAAAATTTCCAAAACGGTCCAGCCCTAACATCTTTACTTGTTATAATTTTCTCATAATAATAATAATAAAATAAGGAACTTATCATCAATCACAATACAAATTACAGTGAACTCCAAACAAACTCTCGTCTCCTCCACCAGCTGTGGGAAAAGCCATTATAACGACGACACAGATCATTCTGCCTATTCTTGCCAGAGTCCCACGGAAAAAAAGTGGTTGACAGGTGGTAATTTGTGTGTAACGTTGTTTATTTATGGTTTGGTTATGGGGATAGCATAGACCATGTGTGTCAGCTAGTAAAAACGGTAGGCTACAAATAATTCAAGAGTTCACACTTAGATATTGCTTGACAACTGTTAGCAGGTTTGGCATGCTGTCCCCCGGAGAGAACCCTGCGCTCGGAGATAGTTGAGCCCAGGGCTCTCGCCAGGTCCATAGAGCATGTGAGGGGAGTACGAGATCAGATGGTTCTCGAGAGCTCCCCTAGTAAAGGAGGAAAAAGGGGTGGATGGGGGGTTTCTTCAGAAAACGAAGATAAGGGAGTAAATCTAGCTAGGCTACTTATAGTGAGTTACGATAGATCTGATTGGTTAACTAATGAGTGTAGATGGGAGGCCAGCTGCAGTCAATCATATCACGTGCTCCTCTCAAAATTAGTTTAAAAAACTTCACTTAATTTGTTATGAATTAATTGATATGTAACAACCACCTCCATCCTCACCTATGATGACGATGACCAAATTGGTCAACATTGCCCAACCCTATTTGGGAGTTCATTCCACTGTGGCAACCCCTGATAAATAAGGGACTAAGGTGAAGAAAAATGAGTAAATAAATGTTTGTAAATGTAAATTGATATTTTAAACTGATGTTGTACAGAAAAATGTAAAAATAATTTCAAGATCATTAAAGATACTTCAGAATGAATCGTTCTGTCGGCTCTCCCTTTGGAACATATTTGATTGCATGAAAGGCAATGTACAAATGCAATTGTTGTTTCTGTAGACAAAAGTGAGGATGAAGATCTGGATGTGAAGCCGGAGAAAGGCGCTGGCGGTCAGGGAAAAGGCAGTGATGACAGCAAAGACCCTCGCAGACCCAAAAGACCCCGAACCATCCTCACCACACAGCAGAGACGTGCATTTAAGGCCTCCTTCGAGGTCTCGTCCAAACCGTGCAGAAAGGTGAACTTCTCCACACTTCTTGCACAAAAATAGAGGATCAATGTTTAATGACAACATATGGTTTAACTTGATATAATAAGTAATCACATTTCAACTGAAGTCATACAAGCTGGCCACCTATTATGCAAAAATCACTTTTATAAGGATATTGAACACAGTTGTGTGGCAGCAGTGTGTGAATATAACCAGCTTATAATGGTTAAAATGCATTACTAAAAATGTTTTAGAATCAGACTTGATAAAAACAGTCTGCAGAAACACGTTGATTGACATTCTCTCTTTGTACGCGTCATCAGAGGGGAAAAGCCCCGCCCACTAGTGACTATCTCTTCCTCATTAGCATAGGACGTTAGTATATTTTTAAATCTGCCACTATGCTGACACACAGGCATAGGTAGCTCTGCCCACTTTTAAAAAGAGTAAAATCTCATTTTTAATTTAAAGCGACAGTCACCAAAACACCACAATTAGGATAATTAGGATAGATTCAGAGAGTTTTAAAACATTATTTGCGTGGTATTTTGAGGTGAAACTTCACACACACACATCGGAGACTTATTCAGGTTTTCAGCTTTCTTCAAAAATGTTTTCTTTTGTATTTAAGAGAAGAAAGAAATTCATAAAGATATGTACAAATTTGAGGGAGAGTAATTAGGGAGAACAATTAGATTTTTGGGTGAACTGTCTCTTTAATAATGCATTAGTAAATATTGAACTGTGATTACTAAATTCTGTACAAGATTGTTCATATTTCATGTTATAAAATATATGAACTACCATTAATGAATTAACTATTTATATTATTATTTTATTATTATTATATTATTATTATTATTATTATTATTATTATTATTATTATTATTATTATTATTATTGTATTGTTATTATTATTATTATTATTAATATATTATTATTATTGTTGTTGTTTTATTGTTATTATTATTATTGTATTATTATTATTGTTTTTGTATTAATATTATTATTATTATTATTATTATTATTAATAATAATAATATATTATTATTGTTGTTGTTTTATTGTTATTATTATTATTGTATTATTATTATTGTTGTTGTATTAATATTATTATTATTAATATTTTATTATTATTGTATGTATATTTTGT